TCTCAAATACTAGTTGAAATGGTATTTTACAAGGTAATGTATTTATTTTTAGGCTTATGTAAGGCCTGAGTTGCTGAAAGTTCCATTTAAATTAACATATTCAAACCCCCTTTTTTGTTGTTGTGGGGCTTTTGCTTTGTATCTCAAGAGGTTGCAGCCCCTTGTTCAAGGTTTAGCTTAGCTTAAAGAAAGAATGAAGCCTGCTCTGCCTCTAACCAAAGACAAAGTGGATTTGAAGAGGTCATATTATTGGGTCATAGAATTTCCTTCACCAGCTATCAGTTAAGAGTTAAAGTAGACTCATAATATATCCTTGTTCTTGAGATGTATGCATAGGATTCCAAATTTTGACATTCTGTGTGATTGCGGGGGGGTCTTCTGGGTTGATACCTTTACTGGCCTGGCAGTTCTTCAGTTGGAAGTGAATAAAACTATCTCAGCAGCACCTGTCTCCTAAATTAGTTCACTGCCTTAGAAGTGTATCCAGGGGAATGTTGCTCCTTTGTGCATTCCAGTATGTGACTGTGGAAGCTGCAGTGGAGAAGGAACGACAGTGACGCATACACTTGGCATAGGGCACAAAGATGGACAGGGTGCACATGCCAATCAAATTTATGCTAGCAAAATGCATATGTGACCTGGAGTGCATGGAGCACATGTTCATCAGTGGTAGAATTTACTGGTACTTTTATGCCTCTGTGAAAAGTGCTAGATGCTTAGGACTCTGAGGTAACAGCTGTTTTAAAATATTCATATTGGCTGCCTTAATTTAGATTACTCTTCTGGATCCACACAAAGTACTCATCATCTTGATTGTTACTTCTGGAAATCTGTTTGTTGTCAAGCATCTCAAACTGCATACTTAAAATAGCAAATACCTTTTAAAAATGTTAGTCATTTAATTAACTTGTAATTTATTTACGATCCTGCATGTTTAAATTTCTCTGAATTATAAAATATTAATAAAACTTTAAATAAAACTAGTAAATGAATGTTTAGATCATTTTATAACTTTGCAGTAATTTTGAGGTCTGTTTGTCTTACAGGAAAACAACTTTTTATTTGTGCAAAAAATGACAGGTCCTTTTTGAAGATCAAAAATCCAGATTTTATACAACTACATATGAACTGGACTAAAAGCCACTTTAGGTACCTAAATACCTTAAAATATCTGGACCTTTAATTTAATTATAATCTGTTGAAATACAGAGTACAATGCATGTAAATTTGGTCCTTTTTTTAGAAAAAGAAAAGAAAACAAGAAATTTATTTGGGCCCAGCCTTCTTTGACCTAACCTCACCTTTTGTCTGAAGTTATGAACTACCTGTTTTGAACCAATACTTGAGTCAAAATTTGCTTGTAAACTTTCTGATTTTCATTAAGAAATGAATGAATGACAAATGGTGTCTAACAATTTTTAAATGCCTTAAACGTGTATGTAATTTGATCTGTATCTGGTGAATTTCTCTTAAATTTTATTTGATTTCTTGTCAGTAATTCTTCACACTGGCACACAATGACCTCATGTATTCTATGGCTACACATGTGCTCCTCTTTTCAAAATATTAAACATCTTTTTTGTTTAAATGAAAGGCAGGATAGTTGTTGATAGTTCATTTGCTGGTAATAGAGAACAGCAGAATCCAGGAAACATAGTATATAATTAGAGGCATCTAATGATATATTCTAAAGTAGAATATATCAGGATGTGTATGTGTATACAGCAAACTTTTGGCTGTATAAATCGAGCTTTAAGAATAGTACTGAACTATTAGTGTTTGTTTTATTGTATTAATATAGTTAATTATTTATTTTATTAGTATGTACAGAACTCTCCTAAAAGTGAAATTAATCCTTCTCCTGGAACAGATTATATTTCCTAGAAAGGATTCAAATTGAACTAGAAGATGGGTAACTTGCTAACAGAACTAATTCTAAAAGTTCTGTTCTAAATGTGAGGTTTTTCTTCTTACTCTTTTCCAAGCTATGAAGTCTAAAGTTGTCAAAAAAAAAAATCCTGGATTTTCTCCTAATATTGGTCATTTTTTGTCTCTGTAGCCATAGCAGCAATTTCAGAAAATCATTGTAATTTTTGGTTACCTTGTATATCAATTAAAATAATTCTGCAAGTGCAATCTGTTTGCATAATTCTGTTTAAAATCCAATACAGCAATTACAAAACTCCTGTATAATTGGGGGTAAGTAGTAGATATGTTATTCCCCTACAGCAACTCCACAATACACGTTGAAAGGCAATTTCAGTCTATTCCAGCTCTTCTAACATTTTTAACCTCTCCTAGGGCTAAAAAACCATATCCAAATCCTTCCTGTGGGTGCCTAAATTTAGGTACCACAGGAAAGGGGAGACCAGAGTTCAAACCCCTGCTTAGCCTAAGGCAGGGGTAGGCAAAATGGTAGATCCAGCCCACAGCTGGACTCTATTTCCCAGCAGCCCCTGCCTGTGTGTCTCCTGGCTGTTCTCCATGCAATCACCTCTATATACACTATGCAAACACAAATCATGACAAAAATATCTGTTGTCCTGAATTAAAGGATGTTATAGTAGGTGTTAGACTTGCTGTATGATTTGGTTTTCTTCTGGTTCTAAGATGGCAATCCCCCTCCCAAAAGAAGTATTTCCAGAGGGCAAGGGGAGGGACGTCTGGTGGCAAAGGTTAGGGGTTAGGGGTGGGACTTTCAGTCCCAAGACAGCGACCAGGGGGGTAGGGCAACTGTCAGGGGGCAGGGCTACCCATGTGGCCCTTGACAGCTCACCAAAACACCTTTTGTGGACCTTCAGCCAAAATTTAATTGCCTGCCCCTGCTGTAGATTCTATCACAGTGGCCCCTTAGGTAGTTTTATACTCAGTGCATGCTTGACAGATCAGGATCTTAAGCACAGTTGTTTGATCTGAATTGCCCAATTTTTTTCACATTCTTGTCAGTTGTGAGTTAGTACTTGTATGGAGTATTGGTGAAGACATAACAGGGAATATTTCTGCTTTTGCAGGAAGATTCAGTCTGATTTACTGTAATTTTTCTCTCTGACTTAGGTTTTGTGTTATATTCTAAACCAGACAGAGGGCAGAGTAGAGATGCACCTTATAGACCAGTGATTCTGCCCTGTTGTGGTCTTTCTGCATTCTTGACAACAGAAGAAATGCTCTCTTATTTCTCAGTAGTCAAAAAGCAAGTGAAAACTAAGATGGAATTTTCCATGGGGACCTTGCATCTAAAAAGGTTGAGAACTACTGTTATGGACTAAGTGAATTGGATGCATGAGCTTTTGTGAGCAAGAGCTCACTTAATCAGAAAAGGCGTACATCTGATTTCAGCTAGTTTGTAAGGTGAACTTCTACCCGGCCTTCTGCCTGATTTCAAGCTAACGCAGCCAGCTATCTCATTCTAAATTGGATTACTTTTATCTAGGGAAAACAAAAATAGAAACTGTCAGGGACTTTTCCAAAGCTAGAAGGTAAAAAACCTGGTATACTTAACAATATGAGTTGTCTGAAAAGAAAACAGCAAATATTTAATAGAAAATAAAATAGATGAAATTTTTTCTGACTTCAAGCACTGTTGTGCAGCACTGCATTTATAGAGATCAAGGAAAGTGTGTTATCTCCAGGGCCTGATATCATCTGCTGAAGCTCTGATTTTTTTTTTCTATCCCACTAGTAGCCAAGCTTTTCTGTATAACTAAAGATGAATACATTTTTCACTAACCTGAACATGTGTATGTGTACATAGATATGCTAATGTGATGTTTCTCAACCTTTTCAGACTTAAGGCACTCCTCAGAAAATGTCAGGTCTTAGATTTCACTTGTTTTTTCACTATGGAAAACTGAGTGATTCTGTTGCAAAGAAATCAGATAGACTACACTATGTCATAATGTTTTTGACACTATGGTTTCCTATTTGAAAATTCTGGGTTCATATCTTGTGAATAATGTTTAGGCATTTGCACATCTAAATGGGGTCATGGCACCTTGCTTGAAAAACACTGTGCTAAAGTTCAGAGTAAGCCAATTGGTATTTCTCCAGCCTGCACCAATATGTAATTAAACTGCAAGTGGAAAGCATGTTCTACATTTTACTTTGGTTCTCAATTAACTAGTAAGCCCTCTTACCAGGAGGGGAGGACATGAACATAAGTGTATAGTTTCCTTGTAATTCTGCATTATTTTATGTTGGGTTTTTTGGTTTGGTTTTTGTGGGGGTTTTTTTTTGGATTTCGAAATCCTAGACACTTAAGTATTTTAGCTAGTATGACTTATGGATAGAGGTGCACCAATACATTGGCCTGATGTTAGATTGGCTCCGATATAAAGAAAATTGTCTATATCTGATATCGGCCCAATGGGGCTGATAATTTGGCTGATTAAATGCCTGTGCTGCACTCAGCCACAGCACAGCATGCAGCAGAGCCAGCAGCGTGGAAAGCTGCCTCCAGCTGGTAAGTCGGAAAGGTGCAGGGAAAGGAAGGGTTATGGGAGGCAGATCAACTCCCCTGCGGTGAAGGAGGGGGCAAGAGCATGCACTGCCCAGCTAGGGGAGGTGGGGCATGGGAGGAGGCATGGCTCATGGGGTGGGGGCAGCTCCTGCTGCTGCTTTTACCCCAGGAGGGTGGGGGCATGTGGGCACCCTGGGAGGGCAGGAGCGCAGGGTGGGCTGCAGCTGCGGGGTAGAGCTGGCACTGCGCTCTTTTCACCGGGCTTGGCCTGGAGCAGGCTCTGGCAGTGCTGGGAGGCGGCTGTAGCCACCCCAGATTTCGCCACAGCTCTGCTTCCAGCCCCATGCCACTGCCTGGCGCAGCCCTGGCTTTACCCTGTGCTCGGGTGGAGGCAGGGTGTTTAGCTGGGGCTGCACCAGGTGACGGCGTGGGGCTGGGAGCAGAGCTATGGCAAAATATGGTGTGGCTGCAGCCTTCTCCCAGCGCTGCCGGAGGCCACTCCAAGCCCAGCCCCAAGCAAGAAAAGCCCTGCACAGTGCTGGCTCCGGCTCCACCCCGCAGCTGCAGCCCGCCCCATGCTATGCAGATCTGGGGTGCAAGCAGCAGCAGGAACTGCCCCCACCCCATGAGCCATGCCTCCGTCCTGTGCTTCCCGCCCTGCCCCCCCTCCCCCTGGGGCTGGGCAGTGCCTGCCCCTGTTCCCTCCTTCACTGTGGGGGGGCATTGATCTGTCCCCCCACACCCCTTCTTTCTCTCCTCCCCTTCCACCATACTGGAATGTCAGATCAGTCGATATGCCTCCTTAAATATCGGCTATTGGTACTGGACCCCCAAAATCTCTATAGGTGCACCCCGACTTATGGAACTAGATATTGTAAGGAGGGTACATTTTTTATAGTATAAGGGACACTATTAGAGAATTTCATGTTTTTGTTCGTAACTGATTTTTAACTGTTCATTACAGTGTTGAACTAATTTGGAACTACAACTTTTTTACATTCTTGGTTTTTGGTCTTTAAATGGCTGATTTAAATGTCGAATTGATTTTTCAATTCCCTTCTTGTTTCCTTTTCTAATTCCTTTTGCTTTCTCTAAGAATGTAATTCATCTAGGTGAGGTTCTTTGCTAGTACAGAATTTACCCTGGGGCTTTCAGATTAGCTTTTATTAGAAATGGAAAAGTAGAAATTCATGAAAATAAGTGTGTTCAAGTTCATGCTTGTTTCTTTGAAAAAGAACAAAATTGCAGCTTGGACCATCAGCTATTTATTGGCGTAAAGGTAAAAACAGTCACTGTAAAGTACTCGCAGTCACAATGGTAACATTTTTATAAGACATTTATGTACAATTTGGCCTGTTTGAAAATGCATACCTAACAATGCAGCAAGGGCATAATTGTCCTACATAAGCTTGTACAAAATACATTATTTCACCAAAATAATGACTAGGAGAGAAGGTAATAAATACAGAATGGGGCCATATTTTAAAATGGAAAAGACTACACCTATGATAAACAATGTTACATCACTGTCCAATAGCTATATAGCACCTATAGACCACTTTACGGATGCTGTTTTTATGCAAAATGTAACATTTACCATTAATTGGAATCCTAAAGAAAGCCTTAGTTGTTGTTCAGGACCCACCATGAAGCTGAAAAAGAAAAATATAATTACTGACAAAATACAATTTTATTTCCTCAGTCTTGATTCTCCTCTTTCTTTATCAGCTATACCAAAATAAGGTTCCAGGGCACAATACCCTAAAGGTAATAGTCACATTTGAGCATAGGTCCTTGGCCCAGATACATATTAGTTGTCAAGATATAGACATGTTTTAAGTAAAATCAATTGGATTTTCTCCTTCTAAAGTTTCTGCTTTGGTACTCTCTAATGAAAATGTACTTAGAATGAGTTTCTTCCTTTGGTCCATCTGGGTTCAGATCCCAGCATTCATCGCTTAAGCTGCTTGAATTATCTGAGCAATGGATGGAAGGAATTGTTCAGCACTGACATTCAGGGTTGCATAAAATTTTGATGGGTGTTCCGGCCTCAAAACAGCGAAATTGAAACGAAACAAAAGGTTCTGAAACAGCTTTGAAATGTTTTGAAAGCTTTGAAATGTTTCGAGTTTTGAAGCCTGGCTTGCTTGCAGCTAAACAGAAACTAAGGAGAGGGAGGGGGAAGAGAGGGGAAGGACTACTCTGATATTGACATATAGCTCCCAGTTCGATTCCCCAGCTCTCTGATCATTTCCCCAGCTCTTGTGGGGTGTGGATCCCTGATCTGTGCATGGGGTTTCAGCAGGCTGCTGCTGAAGGCTGGGACCAGCGGCAGCTACTTGGTGCAGCCTGTGCCGAGCGCTAGGAAGACTGAAGTGCTGCCGCTTGTTCCAGCCTGCACGGCAGCCTGCTGAAACCTGGCGCACAGATCTGAGGGCCTGCGCCCCCCAGGAAGAGCTGGGGAAAACTATCAGAGAGCTGGAGGAATCGAACCGGGAGCTGGGGGAATGTTCAGGGTCCTGAACTTTAGAAGGGGAGAATCTAATTGATTTTACTTAAAACATGTCTACATCTTGATAACTAATATGTATATGAGCCAAGGACCTTTGCTCAACATGTCCCTGAACATTGCCCCAGTTCCCGGTTGGACTCCCCAGCTCCCTAATCTTCCTTGCAGCTCTCTGATTGCTTACGCTAGCTCTTCCTGGGGGGCACGGTCCCCCAGATGATGCGGAATGTCAGCAGGCTGCCGCTGCCAGCTGGTGATGATGACGGCGGCTCTGGGCTATTTCCCCAGCTGGCAGCAGCAGCCTGCTGAAACCCCACGTGCAGATCCGGGGGCCCTGCATGCAGGATGACAGCAGGCTGCCACTGCTGTCAAGTGATATGAGTCTTACTCTGAACAGTTTGAGGTCCAGTTTCCCAGAAACCCATGCACCTATCTCCTTGAAACTTGGCATGCCCTCAGAAGGGGCTACCATCCCTTTTCATCCAAATAGGACAAGAAATGACAAAACTTATAGGCATTTTTGTGCTTCCCCATTATAGCCTACGGGCAAAACGTCAAAACATATTGAAACGGTGAAACAGTTTCTATGAAACAAAACGGAACAGTGTTTTGAAACAGCGAAATGGAAGTCAAAAAGAAATGGTGCTGTTTCATTCAGCCCTGCTGACATCGTCTAAGCTGATGTTGAGGGCAAGTGTACTTGAGAGCATCAAAATCAATGTAAAGAAAGCTCCAGGGTACTGGAACTGATTCATGGTTAGAGAGCCCAAAGCTGTTGGGCAAATCTGGGGGGCGGGGGGGGAGGGGGACTGCAATGATGCCTAGCTGTATGCAATGAGTTAGTTGCAGAAGGTTTGTACTTCTGTTGAGTGACAGTAACCTTACTCTGGCTACTGTTGCAAGGAGGATCCTCTGCTTCTGCAAACTTACTCTTTTCAGTAGCCCTTACTTCAAATATAGTTCAACTAAAATTAATGGGAATATGCAGACAAATATAAATGTTTCCAATATTGGGCTTCTCCTTATGATCTCCAAGTGTGGATCTTAGAGAGAGTAGTTTGTATCTTCAGTTGGCTAAATTAGCTGGAGAATCAAGTAAAAAATAGGATTATATTGAAAAGCAGACGTTGCATCTTATCCGAACTTTCTTGGGTTAAGTTTGCTTTAAGAAGCGTTTGTCTTGTGATTGTAGCAGACGGTTCATTTTTTTTCTTCCCTGACTTGCACAGACCTTGCTGTACACTGTACGTGCCAGTTACACAAAATATACCAATGGCTTTGCAGCCATGATTTTTCCTACCTTTTAAGATGTTAAATACAAATTTGCCTTTAGAACCTATACACGGGAATTGCTGCCCATGATGAAAAGAATATTTAAAATATATACAATATAAATTTCTAAAAATATAGACACACTATAAACAAACAAAAAACCTAGAACTATGCATGTACTAACCATAATTTTCCTATTTTTTTCCCAGCAGGGAATGCATGTTGAACAATACTGTTGTCGCCATGGTGATAATCTACCAGGATGGAATGCTGTAGACTAAAATCTGATTTAGAAGGCAGAGTGGATACTTTAAACATGATGTTTTAAATCCAGTTTCTGACTGAATTTTATATTTTTGACTCTCATATTACTTTATCTCAAGTTAACCCTACTTTTGCCAAGCATGATTGGAACATCACTTTTTTTCTTCTGATTTTTTTCCAGTATGGCCATACACGTTAGGCACAATGAAGTCTGTTGCTACCAGAGTGAGAAATGGCATCATTCACTAAACTCTGCAGTAAGATTTTTGTCCCTTGAGTAAGTTTTGCTCAAACAAGGTCCCATTAGGACACAGGACTGAAGGAACTCCTATGTTATGGAGTCTGTTCTCTTCCTATCAGAGGCAGCCCTGTTACAAAAGTGTTCAAATTTAACTTATTAAGTCTGGATACTTTTTGTTAATTTGCTTGAGGAAAGTGTTTCAGACTTGTCCCAAATGAGTTTCTAGAGAGAGAGAATGGTTTCCTTTCCCAGCTTTGCCACAAATTTTTGGCTTGACCTTGGACAAGGAGGCCAGATCCAAAGAATAACTTTAATTATCTGGCCTATGGTGCCTCAGAAAAGCAATATAAACAATGTACAGACTAAGTAGATAGCTGCCCAGAGCTTGTTGACAGGAAAAGCCAAGCTGTAATAAGAGGAAAAAGTACAACAGGGATATGGAAAAAATTAATGGGAAACTGTTATTTACCATGTTTCATAAGAGCTAAGGGATGCCCAATGAAATGATCAGGAAGCAGGTTTGAAAACAAAGAAGAAATTATACTTTTTTTACACAGTGAATAATTAGCACATGGAACTCATTTTTACAGGAAGCTGTGGAGGCTAGCAGTATAACTGGATCCCAGAAAGGGTTTGGACGAGTTTGTGGAGGATAAATCTGTCGGGGGGACTATTAAACACAACAATTGGATATAATCTCTGGCTGGTGACTGGGAGGATATGACAGGGGGGTTGGATCACCCTGTCTCTTTTGTATACTTTCTCTAAAGCATCCACTTTCAGAGACCAGATGCTGGGCTAGATGGAACGTTGATATGACCCATTATAGCAATTTTTATGTTCTTATATAGGAAATGGAGATCATCACGTTGCTGATAAGTTTAAATCTGTATTACTCTATATAAAACCTTATTGCTTAAAATAAAGAGAAACAACAAAAAATAAAGAAGACAAATTCTACATTTGTTTTATATGTGGCATGTGCTAGTTAATTGGAAATCTTCATGTGAAATAAAGTATTTTGAATAACTTGGTAGTTACCAGGTACTAGCATAGTTGTCATGAGTTCGGGGGCTTCCAGGAAATCCACATTACTCCTCTGGAATGTCTTACTATAGTTTGTCTGCAGGTGGCTATATAAGTAAATGTGATAAAAACAGAACAAGATTTTAGGAAGGAAAGAATATTTTGGTTGTCATATTTTTTTAAGTATTTGAAAAGAGATATTAAACCTTGTGCTTCAGGGCTTAAGCCACTCTCTATTGGAGGCTAGGATGATAATCTGGTAGGAGAGGGGCAGATTATCCCAGAGCTGTTTGCTATGTGATTCTAAAACCTTCCCTTGAGGCACCTGATTTTGCTAAATGGACCAGGTGGTCCATTGCTCTGAGCTCATGTGGTAGTTTCTGTGTTCCAGTGATGGTGAAGTACCTTTTCAATCCTTGTCATTTCTAGTTCTGAAGATAAATGCATACTGCTTGAACTACTAGGATGGATTCAGCAACAGAAATGAGGGTGCAGGGTACTTAAAAGCAGTGGCTTCAGCCAAAGCAGAGATTGGTGAGCTGAAACTTTATTATACAGTTCAGTTCAGAGAGAAATGTTAATCTCTTCCCAGGTCCCTAAACCCTCTCTCCTCTTCAGTCTGGACTATAACTGATAGGCATATTAATCTCCAAGGCCCAAAAAGACTAATGAACTCCTGGGTTCGTTGTATTATGGGTTGAGAAACCTTGGTGGAAATTCTAATGATTACTCAAATGTGCTTAAATGTTTTGCTGGACAGTGGCCTTTCTATCTCCTCCTGTGACTCCATCACTATTTGTTGTCAACAACTATATGCCAGCATCCTTTGTTCCCCTATTGTTTCCTTCTGTACAACTGCTGTTCCTATTCTGATGACTCCCAGAGCTACATCACTTCACCTTCAGCCTCTTTCTGCTCAAGTTAGACTTTCTAACACCTAGATGTTCCAATACCATTTTAAGCTTATCTACAGCTATGAAACAGTAATTTACTTAATCCATTTTTAATTAAATTCAACTAGAGTCAGTTGGATGCTGCTATGCAGTTGCTTTATAACTTCCAAATCACTCTGAAATGCAAAAGACTTTCTCACTCCTTACCTATTCCAGGCACTGCTGTTCTCCCAGAACTCACAGACAATGAAGCGGGATTCACTAGAAAGCTTCTGTATGGAAACACTAAGAATTGTAGGACAGAATTAATATAATCCACCCCCACACAAAGTAACCAGAAAGCACATTTTCTCCAAGATGATTTATAGTATAAACAAAATATAGCGGTTAATATCAAAAGCATGCATACAGTAGCTGCAGGAACAAACATATGGAGTTAGAGGCATCTGGTATGAAAGATGGGAGATCCTTTCTATTCTTAGCTGTGATATATTGCACGATATTTGTAAGCAGCAAGGTTATGATGAACTCTTTTTACAAAGCTCACATATCATACTGTTTCCAGCGTTGGGGTTATTTTTCTCCCAGAGCTGGTTCAACATTAAAGAACATTAATCTAGCTCTGGTGTAGAACAGTTTTGTCTATTCTATAGAACCCCTCCTGCTATAACAGTGCCAGCGAACCTGAGTAAGCAGAGCCCCCTAATGAAAACAGTGTTCACCATCAAAAGATACTCTGCCAGCAGAGCTACATGGCCTCCCCAAATGATATGAGCTAAGCTGACAAATCCTTCATCTGTTGTCTTAGCAGCATCCACAACGGGGGATTTGCTGGCATGGCTGTGTCAGCTGGGTGCATGTGATCTTTTCACACTCACTGATATAGCTATACCAGCAAAACTTTTAGTACAGACTTGGCCTAAATCCACGTAGTGCTCAGCCTTTTTAGACTCAAAAGCACCACTCCAAAACTCTCAGCTCTTAGCTCGTGTTTGTTTTTTGACTGAAAAAATAATAGAGCAATTCTGTTACAAAGAACTCAGAAAGATCACAACAGGGCAGAATGTTTTTGATGGCATGGATTGACATCTTTGAGTTTATCTTCTCAATCATGTGTAGGTGTTTACACACCTAACAGTACTAATATTTTGTGGAACCTGTAAGGAGATCTCATGGCATCTGAGGGTGCTATCATACCTTGGTTAAAAATCACTGGTATAGGGATTTCCACAAGGAGGAAAGAAGGGTAGGACTTTTCTCTGCTTGTGGATGGCACTACAGTCCACAGAGAGGAAGCACAGTTGTGTAGTAAATCACCCTGAAGAATTACTTTGGTTGCTGTCTTTGAAATGTAAGAAATATATCAAAGTAGGTCAGAACCTGAGTGCCGTGAAAGCACACAGCTAGGCAGTGCATAGAGATGAAATGATCACTGGCAGCTACTAATACTGTTTAACCAGTTTTTTTCATGGCTATTGTTTTTTTTATTGTGATAGCACTTGTAGAATCCAGATGTGGAATGCTAGTTACTGTACTAATACCATAGAGGCAACCTCTGCTTGACAGTGCCCACAATCCCAGAAAGCAGTAAAAAAAATTCCAACTGTATTGTCTGTTTTTTTTGGCCATCTTTCAAGTATGCAAATATTAGCAGAATTTGTTGTTTTATTCAGATGCTCAAATAAAATAGGCTATTTATGTACCATTCCGAACATTCAAATGTGAGACTGGAAATGTAATTAGCTGTATTTGAAAACTGGGCTTAGATGGTATCTTATGGTATAATGGGTCTCCATGATTTATTGGTTATATTATTTCCTGCTAAATGAAGGAAAGCATATCACACAATACAAATAAGTAGTTAGGAACTGCATATAACAGAATAAAACATAATACTCAGAAAGTGACCAGTAGGTGGCACCACTGGCTTACTGAATATAATCTGTAATATTGCAGGAAATTTATCTATTTTTTAGATAATAGATAATTATGTGCTCTGTAGATTACATTCTCAAGTAGTTTAGACTTATTCATATACAAGGTATACATTTCAATTTTCCTAAATTTTGGTTTGCGGTACTATCATTTTTCTAGTAGATGCTTATTCATATCTGCTTTTCCATCTCTTGGCCCATGTAGTTAATACATCCCGTCCATAAAATCTACCAAAGAGTTAAAGGAAGGCCATTCTTTTCTTTTGCCAACCTGATTTCTATACATAGATTGCTATATCCTTGTTTATAATCTCTGTTGCTCATGTCTTCTTACTTGAGGGTGATATGAGTAAGTTTGTAAACAAGGCCAGGAAACAGCCGTTTAAAACTCAAGAATATTTCATCTTGTTTACCCATTTTGAAACACTAACAGAGTTGAATAATCTCTAATTAGATTTTAGAAGCTTTTTCACAGACTGTTGAAATTTATATTGTCACTCAACTTTTGTTAATTCTTGAATCAACTCTCATTTCTTATTTCATGGTAAATAAAGGAACCACTAAGTAGATATATTCTGTGGAAAAAAAAATCACAAAAACTGTTTTTCTTCATTTTTTTTTCATTCCCAATTGTGAATGGGACAGATTTTGCAGGCTGCCAGGCAATGTAACATGATTTTTCAAAATCTTGAAGGCAATGAGCAGGGAGGCCCCCATGAATTGTTTGGCCCCTGGACAGGCAGCCTGAAAAGCCAGTGAGCTGGAGGTCCCAAGGAGTATTGTCACTTAGGAGGGAGGTATCTGAAGAGTCCCCAAAGAGATTGCAGTATCCTAGCAATATTAATAGTTATTAATACTATTAATACTACTGGATTAATACTACTGGATCTCATTTTTACCTTACTGCCTCTTTTGAAGAGAAGAGCTGGCCAAAATCTATTAACTGAGTAATTCTCTCAATATATTTTTGTAATATTAATAATATAAATGATTCAGTATTTGTCCACAACTTCAGAGTCCCCAGATCTTCACACTGAGTACTAGGATATCTGATAGGGTTTAATCTTCCTTGGTTTTGTTTGTCCTTTCCTATCTGTTCTTGTGTGCACTATCCAGCTTTATAGAAGGGAAGATGATCATGAATTGTCACAAAGGTGATTGGTGGAACCGTTTCTTTATTAACACATAATCCATCCCCACTTGGAGGTCATTCAAGAAAACATGCACATTCATAGTGCTAAGCAGAATCTCTCTCGTCTTTACCACACCATGGTAATGACTTAGTACTTACTGCAAACATCCAGCGTGGGCAGAAGCAGATTCCACATACTGTTTCAGAGCAAGTCGGAATTCCTCCAGTTCTTCTTCTACCACAGACATTTGACGCTGAACGATCATGATGTGCTGATATAAATAGTATCACAATAGTATTATCATATGCCTCCTATCAATTTCTTATGCTTTAAACTAAGAAAAATGGGGAGCGTCTAAGCTGAAAACTATATGACCTGACTTTTGGCAGCATGAGCATCTCAGCACCCATCAAATTTAATTGGGGTTATGAGTGTTGTAAAAATCTTAGGTTTCTCAAAGTGAGTATCCTAAGTTAGTGATATCAATTATATCCAACTTATGCATATGCAAAAATAACAGTAATATACCATGAAGATCAAAAGATGAAGTGCAACAGTCAGGGTATTCAAATGGTTGTCATTCTATAGGAAGTATAAAAGGAAACTCAAGTCCAGTTGAGCCCCAAATAGAACTTTTATAAACAACAACTTCCGTAAAACCTATGACCAAAGTAAACAATTCTATTATTTAAAAAGAAGTCCAGTAGAAGTGTGTGTAAATAAAATCTCAAACCGCTATTTATTTGTTATCGTTGCAGCATGTGACATTGGTCAAACTGAGTCTTCAGAGAATGAAACCCCCCAAACCAGTGCCCATTTTTTCACAGCATTATAGAGCAGGGGGTTTCAACCTTTTAAAATAAGTATACCCCTTTGGACTCAAAGTTTCAGCTCCTGTACCCCTTTATATTTGTTTGTTGTTCTTTTTTTGGGGGGGGGGAGCAGATTGAGGCCCCTGCA